ACCAATCCCACGAAGAGAGGGAATATGCTGAAAAACTGATGAAACTGCAGAACCAGTGAGGTGGCCACATCTTCCTTCAGGACATCAAGAAACCAGATGGTGATGACTGGGAGAGTGGGCTGCATGCAATGGAGTGTGCGCTACACTTAGAGAAGTGTGAATCAGTCCCTACTGGAACTGCACAAAGTGGCCACTGACAAGAACAACCCTCCTTTGTATGACTTCATTGAAACGTATTACCTGGATGAACAGGCGAAATCCATCAAACAACTGGTTGACTACATAACCAACTAGGGCAAGATGAATGCCCCAGACTTGGGCCTGGCAGCGTGTCTCTTTGACAAGCACACCCTGGGAGACAGTGACGGTGAGAGCTGAGCAAAGCTTTAGCCCAGCTTCCCCACAGCCACAGTGGTAACTTCATGGTCACCACCAGGCCACCTGCACAACTTGTTTATTTTACCTTTTCTATAAATTGTACCGAAATACCCACTTAAGTTCTTTTATTTGTACCATTCCTTTAGATAAAAGTAATTTGGTACCCAACTGTTGTATTGGAGATCTTGGTGGGCCAGAAGTCTGTCTAAGCCATGTTGGCCAAATTCTTTAATTACCACAGTGTCTGCTTCAATCATATTTAATAAAATGAAACTTACAAGGGGGGAAAAAACCCCCAGACACCTTGCCCTGTTCCGCACCATTTTTATAATCTCTGCTGTGCTCAAATCCCTTGTTGCAGTTACTGTGTCAGCCCATCCCACTGAGGATTTTTTTCTCTTTTGCTTGACCTTCACTTTTCCAAACATGAAGTCTTTTTCCAAGACTGGTGCCTCCTGGAAACATGCCCACAGTTAGATGAAGTTTTGCCATCCTCACCTCCAAAGATCACCTACCTGTACTTCTTCCAAGATAGATTCGTTTGTCCTTTTGGCAGTCCATGGTATGTGCAGTACTCTGCCAACACCACAGTTCTTCAGTCTTCCTTACTCATTTTCCAACTTTCACATGAATATCAAGAAATTGAAAACACCATGGCTCGGATCAGTTATACCTTAGTCTTTAAATTGACATCCATACTCTTTACCATTTTAAAGAAAATGTTCCCAATTCCATCCATCTTTTGGTTTCTTTTTTTTAATTGTTGCATACTGTTGAATTGGATCCAACTGGAACAGTTGCTCCTCCTTCTCCAGAAAAGCATCTGGTGTATTCAACTTGTGTGCTTTTGTGTGCAGCAGAGCTTCTTGTCACTAGGCTACCAGAGCTCCCTTATCTTTTGATTTCTTGATTGCTGTTGCCATAGGTGTTGATTGTGGATTCAAGTAAAAGAAAATCTTTGACAACTTCTCTTTTCTCTGTCATGGTGTTTACTGGTCCAGTTGTGAGGACTTTTATTTTCTTGATGTTGAGGTATAATCCATATTCTTTTATCTCTTCAGTAAGTACCTCAATTCTTATTCACTTTAAACAAGCAAGGTTGTGTCATCTTCATAATATAGGTTGTTGATGAGTCTTCTTCCAACCCTGATGCCATTATATTCTTCATATAGTACAGCTTCTTAGATTATTTACTTAGCATACATATGGAATAGGTGTGGCGAAAGAATATAACTCTGATACATACCTTTCTGATACATACCTTTCTAGGTTTTAAACCATTTTAAAACATGAAGTATGTCCATTTTTGTTTGATTGATTGCTTCTTGGTGTATTTATAGATTCTGCTTGAGCACAATTATGTATCCTGGAATTTATATTCTTTATGTTATGCATAGTATATTATAATTCACACAGTTGAATATGTTTGCATAGTCCGTTAAAACAAGTAAACATCTTTCTTGTATTTTCTGATTTGGGCCAAGGTTCATCTGGCATCACCAGTGATGACTTGGATCCTCAGCCTCTTCTGAATCCAGCTTAGATTTCTAGCTGTTCATTTTGTGTACTGCTCCTGCTGGTTTTGAATAATCTTCAACAATATTTTACTTCATGTGCTATTAATGATATTGCTCAGTAACTTCCACATTCTGTTGGATCACCTTTTTTGGAATGGGTGCAGATATGCAACGTCTCTAGTCAGTTAGCCAGGTAGCTGCTTTCCAGATTGTTTGGCATAGACAGGTTAGAGCTTCCAGCATCGCGTCAGTCTGTAGTTGGCACCATCTCAGGGGGCACTCCATCAATTCTGGAGCCTTATTTTTTGCCAGTGCCTTCAATGCAGCTTGGATAGCTCCCTTTAGTACCATTGGTTCTTGATCATATACTACTTCTAGGCAGGGTTCAGTGTCATCCACTTTTTTTGATACAATCACTGTGTACTCTTTCCATCCAGAATCTTTCAGTACTGCAACTTGAGGCTTGAATTTGTTCTTCAGCTCTTTCTGCTTGATAAATTAATATTCAGCTTTCGTAGTGTTTAGTAGCTGAGGATTCAGCTTTAGTTGTAAACATGTATTTCATGACACGTTAGACTTTATGATTACTTAAAAGAATATGTGGGTGTATTTATACGTGTCTGTCATATATATATGTACATTACACACAAGTAGTGATTACCTCTGTGTTCCACAGGGTTTTCATGGGTGAGTTTTGGGAGGTAGAGCACTAGGCCTTTCTTCTTAGTGTGTCTCAGTTCAGAAGCTCTTCCAAAATGTGTTCAACATCAGTAGCAACTTGCAAGCCTCCACTGACAGGTGAATGGTGACTGTGCTTGAACTTTATTGGCCAGGGATCTAATGTAGATCTCTCACAAGGAAGGAGAGAATTATACCACTGAACCATCAAGCTATCACTGCATATGTATATGTGTAGCATCTATATGGGTAACATCTATGTGTGTGTAACATATATGTGTATAACACACACACACACACACACACACACACACATTTGTGTGGGCCATCCAGTCAGACCTCACTCATCACTGACCTTCCAGCAGGTGGAGATAGGCTATCTTTCTCCCACAGAGCAGCTGATGAGTTCTAACCCTGTGCCTTTGGGATTACAGTGCAGATTCTTACCACTAGGCCACCAGAGTTGTGTGCTCTCTCGCTCGCGCTCTCTCTCTGTTTTTGTTGTTGTGTACTGTCAAGTTGGAACCATTTCATAGCTGACCCCCCCCAGTGGTTTTTCAGAGGCAATATATAAAGAGCCAGCTTTGAATCAGAAGAATAGATAGTGTCATTGTTAATAGGGTTAGATGTGTTTGGGTCAGTGAAACTGACACAGGATAGGGCAACATTCAGAGCTATTGTACATAGGGTCGATATGAGTTGCAGGCTGACACATTACAACAACAAAAGTATATATTGAACATCTGCATTCATCATAACCAACATATTTACTTAATATTTACTATGAGCCAGAATTCCAACCTAGGGAGTCTGGTTCTAGATTCAACCTCGTAGACACTGTTGCTGTTGTGTGCCGTTGAGTCAATAGCTCTGGACCCTGCCTATCCTGAGCCAATCTCACTGTCTCCAACACCCCCCCCCCCATTTACCCTAGTTACTGTGTCAATCTGTTTCTTCTAGGGTCTTCATCTCTTGCACCATCCCTCCATCGCTCTAACCATGATATCCTTCTCCAAGGACTGGTCCCTCCTGACAACATGCCTAAAGTGTGTCAGACAGGGCTTGAGAATTTAAATGAGAAAAATGCCACCCTGTCATCATTGTCTACCTTGGTGTGGCTTGCTCCTTTTCCTCCTTACGACTTTTTCACATGGTGTTCTTCTGTAGTAGAATTGGACCTTGGTAAGCATCCAGCAACAGAAATCTGTGTTCACTTGCGGTAGCCTTGACCACAGACCACCGTCCTTCCTCTTTCTTTTTCTTTATCTCAGGGCCCAGCTATCAGCAAGCTCGTTAAGTTAAAATCTGTCTTCAAATTATTCTTTCCCTTATCTCCCTCACCCTTATCTGGTCATCCTTCAGAATAACAGTTTCCTGCATTAGACCCTGAGCTGCTTCCCATTCCTTTCTACCCCCTCGTGTGTGTGTGTGTGTGTGTGTGTGTGTGTGTGTGTGTGTGTGTGATTTGAACAGCACATTTCCAGTCATGCCTTAATTCCTTCTCCCTCACTCCTCTCCCCGGGTGGTACAAACACTCAAACACTAGATTAAGACCAAGGTTGGCCATCTGAACCCATCATGGAAAGGTAGGGAGATGATGAAGGAGAGGAAGACTGTCACCTAGGTACATCGACCCAGTGACTGCAGCATTGGGCCCGAGTGTGTCAGAGATTGTGGGGTTGGCACAGGATAGGACAGGGTTTGGGCTTGTTGTTCATAGGGTCATTATGAGTCGTACTCAACTCGATGGCACCTAACAGTAACAACAGAGGTACCTTGGGAGACAGGTCTGTCAGTCTCCTGAAAAGACAACAGCCTTGAAACCCCTGTGAACTGTCCTGCTTTGCACATATAGTGCTGCCAGGAGTCAACATTGACCTGAGGTCAATGTCAACAACATTTTTCTCCAACCACCCAAATCTGAAAGCTGCCTTTAAAGTCTTTTTTGCAGACTTCTCTTGTCGTGTCGTCCTTATTGTGTATCATAGTCAGAACCAGCCCATAGCTCACCCTCTGGTGGATTTTCAGAGGCAGTTAATAGCACAGGAGGAGATTGCCCATCCCGCCCACAGGACAGCTGGCGTCCTTGAATCCTGTGCCTTAGAGATTACAGGGCAGTGTCTTGCCACTAGGCCACCAGAGACTTCTCTTAGCACTTGATTAATCCATTGTGTCGAGTGTGCAGCAGTTACAGAACACTTGATTTCTGGTAGCCTTTGGAACAGATGTTGAGCCCATCCTAGAATTGCCCGAGAGCAAGTAAAATGAATTTTTTTACATGAACAAATGGGAATGATCCTCCATTACATTTTGAGTGTTTAAGGAGCAGAGAAGTGGAGGAGGGAAGTGGGTGAGGCATAACAGCTGCAGGGAGATGACAGGAAGTTTGGAAATTTTCATTATCATCATTTTATTTTTGTCTTCCAGCTGCTAGGTCAGGCCGCACGAAATATGGTACTACAGGAAGACGCCATCCTGCACTCAGAAGACGTAAGACAGTTTCATCTCTGACTTTGGTTTTGTATACGTGGTCTGAGTGGCTACAGAAAAGTGGAGTGGAATGTTCTCTGACTCTCTTTGTTTTTATGCAGAGTTTAAGGAAAATGGCAATAATAACAACACATCTTCAATACCAGTGAGTATCACCTCTCCAGTGACTGTGGGCTGCAAAATTATTCTCTTGGGCCTTTGTGTTTTGGTGCGTTTTCTAGAGGGGACGGGAAAAACATGCTGGAGACTGCAGACTAGGTAGGTTAGGGAGTGAGAGCAGGAGCCACCATTTACAAGCCTTCCTGTGGCTTAAAGGCTACTCAGAGGGAAAGACAGTAAAGCTCATATGAAGAGGGATCACGCCCAAACTCTACTAACCCAATGCTTGGTACCTTGGAGGAACTTAACCAGTATTTATTGACTATCTGTGCCCCAAATTCCTCCGGGGCAACCCACTCCTTATCTAGGAAATCAAATGTAGCTGCAACCTATATCCTGCATTCGCATAAATAACTCGGGCCTTGTTGTTATTGTCATGTGCCATCAAGTCAACTCCGACTCATAGCAACCCTACGTACAACAAACCCTGCTCTATCTTGACCAGTTCCTTTGCCTCTGACACTCTTACCCCCACTACCCCAATCAGAGTCAGTCCATCGCATGGAGGGTCCCGACATCGTTCCAAGCATGATGACCCTCTCCAAGAACTTGTCTCTCCTTGCAGCATGCCCAGAGTATGTCAGATGGAACTTCAAAATCCTTGCCTCCAAGGAGCAGCCTGGCTTCACCCTCTCCAGGATGAACCTGTTTGTGCTCTTAGCAGTCCTTGGTCCTTGCAGTACTTTCTGTAGCACCACAACTCAAAGGCATCGATTCTTCTTCTGTCATTCTTAGTTGTGATCCACCTCTCTGATACATAGCAAGTAATTGCAAAGACCATGGCCAGGTCTGCCACACTTTAATCTGTAGACTGATACCATTGCTCTTCAGTTCTCTGGAGAGGTACATATAAATGTCATTTAAGAGATTTAAACTATAAAGACAACTTTTCTATGATTATTTCTGATAAAATTATGATTTCATCTGGTGTCACTTTGGTTTACATTTTATATAGTTGATGTACCTGCTGGAAATGGAGACCATTGGGCACTTAACTCCTGATACTTAGTTAATAAGCCCTGTGGCATAGCTGGTAGTAAACTGTGCTGCTAATGCAAAGCCTACACATCTCTGGTGGTTCAAATCCAAGGGAGGAAGATGGGTAGTGTCCGCCTGTTGTGAGTTACAGCCTTAGAAACCCGCTGGAGGGTAACTAAGAGTCAGAACCTACTTAATGTTTGTCATAGGGATTCTTTGAATATGTGCATATAAATCATGTGATCATGTGAATTCATGTGTCCACACTGAAACTCAGTGAGCAGTGTGTGTATTGTGTTAGGCCATATTCCTCATTCAGATAGAGTATTAGAATCGAACTCTGGTGGCACATTGTTTAAGCATTTGGCTGTTAATCAGCAGGTGGTCTGGTTTGAACCTACCAGCCACTGTACATGAGAAAGAGGTGGCAGTCTGCTTCTTTTAAAATGTAGAGCCTTGGGAATCCTGTGAGGCAGTTCTGTTTGTCCGAGCCAGTCACTATCAATCAGAACTCAGAACCTCCTCAGCTACAGGGTTGTTTTTGGTTTTGATTTTTTTTTCAGGTTTAGATTTTATCTCTTCAGCATTTCTACTCTCAAAATGGGAATCTCTATTTCGTAATATCATCTAAGGGTTATCATAGAAAACATAAGCTGGAAATTTGTTTGGCCTATATATCTGATCATAAATAACCTCTACCTGTTCGCTAGGTTTATTTTCTTCTTTCTTTTTCTGATTTAGGCAAGAAGCTATTCAGAAGAAGTAAGTAATGCTGAGACTAGAAGTGTGGCAGATTAACTGAAGCAGGCAGGGGAATTACAATCACAGGCTTGGGATCACAGTGCAACTCCAGCTGACACATGCCTTCAAGTGGCATCTGCTCTGGCATGAGTATAATGTATTCTTTCAAAGATGTGCATCACCCAATTCACTGCTAGTGAAAAGCTTTCAGAAAGTCACTGGGGATAAAGGTCCATGGGGATAGAGAACACTTTTTACAATAGCAACATTACATAGAGTAACTATGTTAAAGTCATTGCACAGCCTTGGTTTTCTTTACTGGATTAAATTTGTCTTTTGCAACATGTTTACACCACTGAATTGCTTTGGGAACCTTTCTTTAGAGTTTAAACACTTCTGGAACTCAAATAAGGAGCTCTGGTGGTCCAGTGGCTAAACAGTTGACTGCTGAGTGAAGGGTTGGCAGGTTAAACCCACGAGCCTCTGCTGGAGAAAGACTTGGCTGGCTGCTTCCATAAAGATGACAGCCTTGGAAACCTCACTGGGCAGTTTTATTCTCTCCTGCAGGGTCACTGAGTCAGAATCCACTGTGGCACTGGGGTGGGGACACAAATGGAACAGTATACATTTTGATTCAACTTCAACCATATTTACACATTAAAGTACAAATAACTTACGCAAAGCTGTCTGTATGGCTCTTTCCTTTACCCTCCTCCCCTCTGCTTTGTTTCTAGTGTTGAGCAGTCATCCGATCTACAGGACCAGTTGAATCATCTGTTGAAATAGAACAGCATATAAGAATGCAAAAGCAAGTCTTTGTCTGATGCTGAGAAAATATCTTCCTTCAACAATCCTGACGGTTGATTTTACACTGCCTTCTCCAAGAGTTGAGTTTGAAAAGATTTGTGATGATGTACAGTTTATCCCAGACAGAAACTCAGTGGCTGGATTTTAGAAGAAGCACTTTTCCCTTTTTTTTTTTAAAGCACTTCCTGAATGGCACCAACCCATGATCTTGGTGAAATGATAAGTTGCTCTGTTTAGTTTGCTATTAAAGTAGAATTAAGACATCTTTTCCTTTTTCCTATAGAACTCTTGTAAATCAAGCGTCTATTATCTAAATACAAGTCTGAAGCAAGGACTGAATTATGTTTTGAATGCAGAAATAGAGGTTCTAATGTGAACACATACAAATGATAATATTCTTATCAAAGACTTTTTTTCTTTTAAAACATAAAAAAATACCTAAACTCTTTCACCTGTGTTCAAGAAATGTTTAATTTTATGGTCACAGAGTGGTGCTTTTCTAGTAATTTCAAGGAGAAACTTACTTGTTGCTGTGAATTTTTACTTTGCTTCAGCTTCGCTTAGATGGGAACTTGGCTAATGCTGTCATATCTGGCCAGCTGCAGCCTTCTGCCTTGACCTACATTCCTAGAATTTCTTGTTGCTGTGACTCTGAAGATTAAGTGGCCTTGGGTTCATTTTGTAATTTTCTTTATCATCAGTACATTCATTTTTATGACATCATTGCCAAATGTGAAGGTAGTTGAATGATTGTGGCATGAGGTGGTTTTGTAAGGTTGTATAAACCTTATTACGTTAGTAGATGTTGATATTTGTTGATTAGACTCATCTTGTTACATGGCATAACCACTAGACTATGGTCAGACCTGTATATTTTTAGTTGAATTTAAAATGAGAATTTATCCTCTTCCAAAAGGTTTAGTTCTTACTAATGCTGAAGAGGGAATATCTAACTTCAAAGCTGAGAAGAAAACAATTCTACTAAATGAAGAGAAAGCTAAAAAGTCCACTTTAGCTCATATTGTACATCAAGTCAATTAAGCATATAAGATTGCATTTCTCTTTTATTAAATATATGTGTATTTATTTAAGGTTAAAAAATTAGATGTGATGAGTCTGAAAAATTAAAAAAATTAGATGTGCTATATCTGAAAAGTCATGTATGCATTCCACAAGCATCTATTATAATTATTAAATGTAAATATGTTGTTTATCTTTAATAAGAAGGATCACAATTTAGAAAATAAAGTGTAATTATCCATGCATATAAGAAACAAATACTTTAGATTTAAAAAATTAAAATGAAAGTATGGTGTACAATTTCCCTAATGCTGGAACAAGTACAGTTATTGCTTACATTGTATCTGATATTAAAATTTGCAGTTAAAATGGAATAAAAATTATACTAAATAATGAAAATCTAGTACCAAATTTGCTCATTTTACTTTTGTTATTGAGTGAAAGTTTATAGAGATTGCTTTTTAATTCAGCCATTTATATATCATTTGATGACATTGATTACACTCTCCACATTGTATCATCATTTTTTCACTCTCGGTGGTGGGTCTTGTTTTCACTTGAATATGTTCATTTTAAAGAACATAATGCTAAAATAAATGGAAATAATATAACCAAAACTATGAGGACAGAAGTGTATACTTAAATTGATAGTCTATCTTCACACACATAGAGAGTATACATACAGAGGATTAGTGATCAAACAAATGCAGGCGCATCACTTCATTAAATAACATTTGGATTTGGAGGATACCCTGAGTGATAATGTTTTTAAGATAATGAAAATTCAAATTCTACACTAGACAATGTATGTGATAATACTAAACCAGTAGTAGTATGATGTTTTTATGTACCATCGAGTTGCTTGCAACTCCTAGTGACCCTGTGTACAAAAGCCCTAAACGCTGTTCTATCCTGCGCCAACCTCACTGTCTCAAACACACTCAGTTCCACCACTTCAGTCACAGAATCGGTCCATCTCATCAAAGGTCTTCCTCTCCTGCACTGTTCCTCCACTCTCCCAAACATGATGTCC